TTCGGAGGGCCCTAATGTTAGGGGGAGGAGGGGGGGGGGGTCCCTTATTAAAGAGGGTCCCACATTATATATAGACAGAATTTTAGGGGTACACATGGGGCTTATTTAGAGATTGCTAGAAAGATCCACTCCCCAGCGTCCCTTCAGCACCAGTAATGAGAGTCTGCCAGGCTTCCGAAGATTAGGAGTTCTTGTTTTGGCGGTCCCCATAATGGGATTACACAGTACAGTATTTGGCGACGCTACCAGGTTTATCATACACCCAAAACTAGTTGGCCAAGGCACTGTGATTTCCCACATTCTACACTCCTCCGTGTACGCGTTGGTGAGGTACTTCACCCCTGGCAGGACTTTTGGATCCTTGACCCTCCCAGATGATCTCTTGTTTTTAAACGATGAAAATCTGACAAAGCGGTTGGGCGCCCGGTAGGCACCTTTACCTGTACACTGTGGACGCCCCAGCCAGAACCTGAGCTAATAGGAGCAAGGTTTTGACTAGGCTGGTACAGTGTGGGTTGGTGCCTACCAGTATTAGGGTTTAAAGTTAAGGGTTTAGGGATCCTATGGTCTTGTAGTAAGGCGCAACCCGTGAATGGTACGTAACCTTGCGATAAACTTCGGCCCGTGGTCCAGAAGCACGAAGAATGTCACCTGAAGATTCCCGTGTATGGAAGGTTCCCAAAAATTAGGAATCTTTTTTGTGGAATCCCTATAAGAAGGATTATAGTATATCGACAAGATGTTGGTGATTCCAAATCATGCAACATTCCCACCCTCACTTCAAACTCAACACTTGAGGCCTTTCGAAATGTAGGGTCCCTTTTATGGGGATCCCATAAGCAGGGCTATAGTATGTTGGGCTATACAACGGGGCTTCCAAAAGCCTAAACCATCCTAAACCCTATAAACACTATAAACCCTATAGACCCTAAAAACACTAAACCCTATAAACACTAGAAAAACCTATAAACCCTAAACCCCTAAACCCTAAGCCATAAACCCTAAGCCATAAATCCTAAGCCATGAACCCTAAGCCCTAAACCCTAAGCCCTAAACCCTAAGCCCTAAACCCCTTCTTGAAGGCTTTTGAAGGCAGGCAGGGCCTGGGCTCGAGCTTTCCCTCCGGTACCTGATGAGCACCTTGGCCCGTTTTAAAGCATTTTGGGGTTATATATTGGGATAATATTAAGGTTACATTGGGGTTTTATTAGGGTTATATTGGGGTTCTATTAGGTTTATTGGGGCTATATAGGGCTTATGTTGGGGTTATATTGGGACAGTGGAAAACAAAATGGCAGCACCTTGGCTCAGGGGATTTGGGGTATAGGGCTTGTATGAGCATTCGCCGAAACTCCTTGCATATTCCGGTTCCTTGGACAACCTGAGGGGGTCCTATCGCTTTCGGGTTTTTTGCGCAGGATTGACGGAAAGGTATCACTTTTTGGAGGTTCAGCAAAAACAATGTCATGATTTCGTCTTAGATTGAGGGGCATGTTTTTTTGGGGGGTCCTCTCGCTTTTGGGGCTTCTTGCACGATTCATACATGTCACGGCATTCCTTCTCTTCGTCTCCAATACGCGAGTATTGACCATGGCTCATATAGGGTTTAGGGCTCATAGGATTTGGGGTATAGGGCTTATAGTGTTCCGGACTTTCTTAGGGGCTAGGGCTTTTGGGGCCCATGGATGAAGGCACCGTCAGGATGGCAAAATGATCAGAAAACGCGCTTTTGACGCCTAGCCATCTGATCATGTAAGGCCCTCACTAAACTCTAAACCCTATATGACCCTACATTACCCTATATAATCCCTTATATACAGCTCCTTGCCCTGCTGAAAGCTGAGAAAGCCGCAGCCCACATGCCGGAGCCGACTACGAAGCATACAGCGATGAGCACCTCGGGGAGCTTAAAGAATTCTCCAGAATATGAACATGGGAACTGATGTAATAAAGCCCCTGATGGAAAAGGGAATGGAAACTACTACATCGGCGTTCCGAAAGTTTTGAGCTGCAGGGCCTTTTAGCATGCTGACTGA